GAGAAAAGAAAAAGGAAGAACGAACGAACGAAAGAAAGAAAGAGGAAGAATGAAAGAGAAAGAAAAAGGAAGAACGAAAGAGAAAGAAAAAGCAAGAACGAACAAACGAAAGAACGAAAGAAAGAGGAAGAACAAAAGAGAAAGAAAAAGGAAGAACGAAAGAGAAAGAAAAAGGAAGAACGAAAGAACGAAAGAAAGAAAGAAAGAAAAAGAAAAGAAAGAAAAGAAAAAAGAAAGAAAAGAAAGAAAAAAAAGAAAGACAGACCCTGAAGATCTGCTGCTCTCATGCACATTGCTGATTGAGATGGGGCTCAGGAAAGTATAAGGGCGGAGCTGCACTGAGAAGGTTTTTACCTTAATGCATAGAATGCATTAAATTAAAAAAAAAACCTTAAGCTTTTAGAACCACTTTAAAGCTAAAGTTTTTTTTTTTAATCAGCACAAGAGACGATAATTATATGAAAAGAGAAGTGTCCCTTGTGCTGGTCACTGCTATGTTAGGGAAGATTTTCATTCTCTGTCTACCCCCTCAGCTGGGATCTTCCGATGCTGTGCGGTTAATTTGAGCCGTTGGACCTGTCACGGGCACTATTCAAAAGTGCCAACTATGTCCGCCCTTTTTCCCCTGTCCTCCAATCATAAAAGCCAAACTATTGCTTCCCGCTATGAAAAGTGCTCTATGAATGAAGGTGAACAAATTAATAAAAGGTCCACCTCCTCCATTAATACAGTTCTTTTTATTGAGGGAAGTGATAGTACAACTTTTCTGAAGGGGCACAGGGGTAGTGGGCACTTTTGATAAGTACATATGACAGATCCAGTAGGTTGAATGAAAAAAAAAAAAACAGACTTGATTACCCCATCAACACATTCAAGATGGATGCAGGAATCCTCCCCACTGAAATACTGTATTCTGACAACACAGAGACTTCCCTGTAATCAATTACACAGATCACTGCTGCAGGCTACAGCCAGCAGCGCTAATCGAGCAGCAAAAATCCGACATGGCGGGTGTACAGAAGTCAACCATCCTGCCCATACATGGAACAAAATTTGGCCAGTTGCTAAAAGTAACATGGCTGTCTAAACATAAGCTCTATTTAGACAAATAGTTAATTTGGAAGGTTTAGTTCTGCTTTTAGAGCTGAGGGCATTTCTTGACAAACAGTTATTTTTCTGTACCTGTAGTGTGTTTAAAGTGGTTGTAAACCCTTACTTATACCCAGTGAAGTAACTGGCCTCAGGTGATACACAGAGATGAAACAAGTCCTCCTATTTAAGTTGTACCTGTTTATTAGCAGTCTTCTCTTCTTTACAGCAATTCAAAGCGCAGACTTTTTACAGCTTGTCTGAGCTTTCAGGGAGCAGGGGGTGAGGAGCTGAAGTTACACTCTGCAGAGCTAAGTGAAAATTGATTTGAGGGACACACACCCCTTCACATAACACACAGGAACGGAGCTGAGGCTGTCAATCACAAGAGTGTGTGCTGGGGCTCCCTCCCCTGTCACCTTTTATCTCTTGGTGTCAAGAAAACTTGTCAGAAGTGACTCATGCAGATAGCAGAGGAAGGAGGGAGCAGACAAAAATGACACTCTGGAGTGAGAAAAGTATACATTATAGAGGGATATGCTTTGTTCATATTTCATGTATGAGGTTTACAACTACTTTAAAAGGGATAAACCATAGAAAAATGTAGAGTATATTGCAGAGATGTACTGCCTATTTTTCTCTTTATTATCCCTCGACATGCATTTTAATCTTCAAAGGGGCCACATTATGTCTACTGAGAGCCGCACCTATTTAATTCCAGAAAAGGGACTATAAAGCATTTTCTGAAGTATTTAGCTGTACAATTATGCAAGAAAGTGTAAATTATCAACTGCAGAACCACAGGTAGATGAACTCAACCCCATTGACGGCTTATAGGCCAGTATCCTCCTTGATTTGCTGCAATCAGCCAGATGGTAAGGCCCTGGAGTCTGCCCTTGCTCCACTGCAATCCTCCATCCAAATGGGCCGTACACCAAAGATGTTCCAGTCAAGGTTTAATGCAATGACAGCACACTGTGCACTCCCACTTAACCATGGGGAAGCCTATGCTGTGAGTGAAACATGTTAGGGGCATGGCTTTGGGTAGGAGCAAGCAATGTGCTGTCATTGCAATAAACTTTGGATGGAGCTGAACGTCTTTGGTGTGCAGCATTTTATTTGGATGGTGGAGAACAGTTGGGGTGCATTTAGTCAAGCCCTGTTTAATTACTCTGCCTGTGTGGAAAATGCAAAGAATGAATTGCAGGAAAGAACAAGGTAAGGTGAGTGGACACAGTTTTTTTTTTTTTAGATATGATTTTTTCAGATTTGATATGATTCAAAAAAAATACACCAACTGCTGTGCCAGGAATACATTTAGAACCATCCAACAGGTAAAATACTGTGAATCAGGAATGCCATGCTAATAGCAAGTGACATATAATATAGCTGTGAAATTAAAAGTGCAAATCCGCGATGATGTCAGATGTGACGAACCGCGTAGGGAAGAGCCATGACGTGACATCAACACACACACACCGTATTGAGGAAGTGACCAGTTTGAATCCTGGGACCGGACCTTCTCCGTGATAAGTGCTTTATGTTTTTTTATATCGTAAGTGGTTAGTACTTTTGAAATAAATTCTTTTAGATCATTTTAAACTGTGTTGGTGTTCCTGGCTCTCGTTTCATGTCACGGTGGAATAGCTTTCATACATGGATGAGGATTTCTTGAAACTATAGAAGATTTGGAGGCAGTTCACACTCCCCAGCAGAGAGTATACAGAGGCACAAAGGTGTATGTACCCATAAAGAGTCCACCAGTTCTGGCAAGAGTCCTTTTACAAATACGGTGGCAGGACTCGCAAGGCTTTTGGAGCATCAATTCCATATATATACGAATCCGGAATTTTCACAATATTATTTATTGTTTGGGACTTTTTGGACATTTTTTGGGATTACAGTATTATCGTTATTATTTGTGTGTTGCTTTAAGGATTTGCACTTTTAATTTCACAGCAATATTATACCCCATACTTAAAAAGCCCTCCCTGGACCCCAATGACCCGAACAACCTCAGACCCATCTCCCTGCTCCCCTTTACATCTAAACTCCTCCAGCGCCTCGTCTACACCCGCCTATGCTCTCACCTCAACGACAACAACCTCCTCGATCCCCTACAGTCCGGCTTCCGTCCCCTACACTCCACCAAAACCGCCTTACTCAAACTCTCCAACGACCTTCTAACCGCCAAAGCTAATGGCCACTATTCAGTGCTCCTACTCCTTGACCTCTCCGCAGCCGTCGACACAGTCTACCACCCCCTCCTCCTCAAAAAACTATACTCCCTCGGCCTCAGAGATTCTGCTCTCTCCTGGCTCTCATCCTACCTGTCACAACGCTCTTTCAGCGTTACCTATAATGCTACCACCTCCCCCTCACTCCCCCTCTCTGTTGGGGTCCCACAAGGCTCCGTCCTTGGGCCCCTTCTCTTCTCCATCTACACCTCCTCCCTTGGCCAACTCATACACTCTCACGGCTTCAACTACCACCTCTATGCCGACGACACACAAATCTATCTATCAACCCCCCACCTCACCCCCTCTGTCTCTGCCCGAATCACACACCTACTGAGCGACATATCAGATTGGATGTCGCTCCACTTCCTTAAACTGAACCTCTCCAAAACCGAGTTTCTTGTCTTCCCCCCAGCCCGGACCCCACCCCCCATTGACTTCTCCATCACATCCAACAACGCCAATATCAAACCCGCCCTGCAGTCCAGAGTACTGGGTGTCATTCTGGACTCCAACCTATCCTTCCAGCCCCAAGTCCAATCTTTAACAAACTCGTGCAGACTCCACCTCCGCAACATCGCCAAAATACGCACGTTCCTAACCGCAGAAACCACTAAACAGCTCATCCACTCCGTCATCATATCACGACTCGACTACTGCAACTCCCTCCTCACTGGCCTGCCTCGCCGCTGGCTATCCCCGCTTCAGTCGATCCTGAATACGGCTGCCAGACTCATTCACCTTTCCAACCGCTCCGTTTCCGCCACCCCCCTCTGCCAATCCCTCCACTGGCTTCCGATTGCGCAACGGATCAAATTTAAAATCCTAACACTGACGTACAAAGCTGTCCACCATACTGCCCCGAACTACATCACTGACCTAATATCCAAGTACCGGCCAGCACGCACACTCCGCTCCTCACAAGACCTTCTTCTCTCTAGTTCCCTGGTCTCCTCCTCCCATGCCCACCTCCAGGACATCTCCAGGGTGTCACCCATCCTCTGGAACTCCCTGCCCCAACCCATCAGATTATCACCTACTCTCCTCTCCTTTAGGCGCACCCTGAAAACCAATCTCTTCAGGGAAGCCTACCCCACCCCCTGCTAACCTGCCGACCTCCTCCACTCTTCCTACCACTCCATCCCCCACAGCTATCTCCTCCTGTGCCACCATCCCCTCCCTCCTAGATTGTAAACTCCAAAGAGCAGGGCCCTCGATCCCCTCATGTTTTGCATTGTATTGGTATTGTTCTGTTACATGTTCTGTCCCCCTTTGTAATGTACAGCGCTGAGCGAACTATTGGCGCTTTATAAATACTGTATAATAATAATAATAATAATAATGTCACTTGCTACTGGCGCGGCATTCTTCATTGACATGTGTTATACAATTTATCGAATTGTTTTGCCACTTGCTGGTTTGATTTTTTTAGCGCAATTTCGTCTTTTGTGTTTAGGTAGGTCTGAATACAAACTGTTCATGTGGAGAGCACTGTTTTGTTTTCTACACTTTTTAAAATCCTAGTAGGTTTTCTGTTGCAACAGGTTACAGCTGTCTCAGAACAACAGTCAAACCGATTTGCAGTTGGTCACTTTAATGTGCACATCAGCTTCCATTTTTAAATACAACTTGTGGTGGTAATCATCTATTCGAATCACAAAAAAGCAGGCTCACCTGAATGCCAGTTTCTCGTCGTTGGGTTTAATACACCGTACATAATGAGGTGTGGTGGCGTTTAAAGTTTCCATCAGCAGCTGGAGAGAGTTCCGAAACTGGAAACAGCATAACATGAAAAATCAACATTACAAGAGGTCCTCGTGTAAAATGCTAAAGTGCAACGAAGGTCTTCAGTCCATGTTACATTCATAAATCCCCTTTCATCATTTCAGCTAGGGCAAATTCCAGCCAAAATCGTGGCTGAAGAAATATAAATAGAAGCTAGTTACTTCCCTAAGGATGTGCACATGCTCCTGCTTAGTGCACAACAAACACATTTTTAGAGCCTGCCACTTGCTGACTCTTCAGACTACTGGTGAACATAACCAATACTGCTAGCCCATAATTCATGAAGAAATACTTGTCTTTGCTTTTCCAAAGAAATATTGAATTATTTTTATTTATTTTTTTTTTAAGTCTACGTAGGTGCAAAAAAAAAAAAAACCCGTAAGTGGACAAAAACCATGCAAATGCAAAACACAAACTCAAAAAAGTGCACTTAGGGGTGTGCTTTAGTCCACCCTCCCGAAGGGGTAGGACCTCTATCCTGATCCCCCGGGATGCAAGGCTCTTGACAGGGACTGAGGTTTCCACATGGTCCACCTAGCCAAAAGGCCTGACGGACCCCTTTCCTTGTGGCTAGCCGAAGCCGACCACCAAGTACTAGGTCAGGGGGCTCTCCCGAAGAGAGGACCCCCCAGGGACAGGGGAGGAAGGAACCTAATGGCCATGCATCCTCCCCCTAGACTTCAGGGCAGGCTCGAGGACCCACACCCTACCATCTTAGTGAGGAAAAAAACACACAAAAGTGAAAGGTGACAAAACGTGGGAGAAAAATAAATAAATAAATAAGTGGCCGTGTAATTGTGCACTAGCTAGGCCTTGAGGTCTTGTGTATTAAATTCCATATTTATCTCTGCCATTACGGTATGTAAGCTCCTCCCATGCCAGAAGCCCAATTTGTGCTGATTCCTGTTGAACTTAGGCAGAGCTCAGTTGCATCCACCCCTCTGCTGTAACCATGCATGCCTTTCAGTGTTTTTCAGGCAGTTGCTATAACAGACACTCTATTTGTATATGCTGCGATGACGCTGGTCTCAGGCAATTGCCTAGTGATGGAGATGAGCACCATCAATCAGCAATACCTAGTTAGTTGTCTCCCACAGAGAATTATAATTAAACAGTGGTCAAGATCCATAGCAGCACCTATAAAGATGGGACAAAGTGCTACATGCACTTTGTTCCCTGGTGGACAGGATGGAGAGAAGCTATATATATGGTGAGACCTCTTCTTTTACCAGTGTGGGTATATAGTAGGCGTCCATATGACCACCTCTGCTCAAGTGCAAAACAAAGCCTGATGCAGAAGAAGTGATTACACCTCTCTTTCAACTCAGTTAATAATCACGACACAAATTATATGTCTAAACACTGACCTGATGTCCGACAGTTTTCTTGTGTTCTTTATTGGCATTTTTTATCGCAGGTTTGAGTGGGCGAACATTGACTTTTGATTTGCCAGTTGGTGTCGGAGGTACTGCATCCTTTCCATCATGAAAAAGGTCGGCGACCAACTGATACTGTAAAAGTAAAATCAGATGACAAAAGTGACAAAAAAATAAGATTCACAGTTTTTCTCATATTGCCCTCTTCTGAGTGAGAGAATGGTCAGATGGTATGCTGTGTGCACATTTTGAATTAAAGTGCATCTATGGTCACAATTTAACTACTTGCCGCCCAACCACTGTACATATACGGCGGCAGGGCGGCACTCGCAAGCAAAACCACGTTTTAAAACGTGTGTTTTGTAAACAAATAGGGGGCGCGCGCGAGGCGCGCCACCGCCCTATCTGTCCCGCGGATCACCGCCGCAGATGTCAGTCGCCGGGTCACAGCCGCTCCTAAGCGGCTATGTCCCGGCGATCGGCGGCAAACAGTGACAGAGAGCACAGCTGCAGTAGCTGTGCTGTCTGTCACTTCCCTGTCAGCTCGAGGATGAGCTGATCGAGAAAGAACAGTTTCTCTTTCTCGATCAGCCTTGTCCAGTACACACCCCCGCCCCCTAGTAAAACACTCCCCTCACTCCTATAACCCTTCCCTGTAAAATAAAGTTAACCCCTTCCTCCTCAGTGCCATTAGTACAGTGTCAGTGTTTTTTTTTTTTTTCACTGATCACTGTATTAGTGTTTTTGGGGATGTCAGTGACCCCAAGTCAGTACCCCCCAATGTCAGAATGTCCGCCGCAGTCCCGCCATAAGTCGCTGGTCACTGCCATAAGTCCCTGATCGCCGCCATTATTAGTATAAAAAAAACCCCTAAAAATCCCAGTATCTTTCCCGCCATTTGTAAATGCTATAACTTTCACGTAAACCAATTAATTTACACGTATTGGGTTTTTATTTAGCAAAGACATGTCGCAAAATGCATTTTGGCAGAAATTTATGACTAAATTTGATTTTTAAATTTTTTTTTTACTGGACATGTTTTATAGAAAAAAGTCCAAAATATTGTTTTTTTTTCCTCAAAATTGTCAGCCTTTTTTTTTTTTATAGCGCAAAAAATAAAAACCGCATAGGCGATCAAATACCACCCAAAGAAAGCTCAATTTGTGGGGAAAAAAAGGATGTAAATTTCATTTATGTACCATATTGCATGACCGTGCAATTGTCCGTTAAACTAGCGCAGCGTTGTATAGCAGAAAAATGGTGTAAATTGCAGTATTTATACCATAGTTTGTAGACGCTATAACTTCCACACAAAGCAATCAATATACACTTATTGGGATTTTTTTTACCAAAAACATGTAGCAGAATACATTTTGGCCTAAATTTATAACCAACTTTGAGTTTATTATATATTTTTTATAGCTGAAAGTAAAAAAATATTGTTTTTCTTTAAAATTTTTGGCCTTTTTTTGTTTATAGCGTGAAAAATAAAAAGCGCACAGGTGATCAAATTACACCGAAAGAAAGCTCTATTTGTGTGAAAAAAAGGACGTAATTTTGTTTGGGTGCAGCATTGCATGACCGCGCAATTATCAGTTGAATTAGTGCAGCGCCGAGTGGCAAAAAGAGGCCTGGTCATTAAGGGGGGTAAATCCTCTGGAGCTCAAGTGGTTAAATACAAATATTCATTCCCACACTGTATGTAAATTACTTCTAGCCTACTCCTATTAATCTGAATGATTTTGAAGTATGCAAACTTTGTGATGATCCCCAAACATTTCCTACCTTGAATTCTGTGACACATATTCACTATGCCCTGTAAGTAGGCACTGCTGTATGTATATTTTGGAGTTTACTGTTCTTACCTTGCTGGCTTTCAAAATATTGATCTGTTCCTCATACACTGTATCACGATTCTTCTCTAAGAAGCCATCACACTGATACTCCACCTGTACAATACATAATTGTGACATAAGCCTTGGCAACAACGTCCTGTACATATAAGGTTTTGTACATATGGGTGATGGCTGGGAAGGGGCATTCGGCTCCAGGGCTGCTGTAGGAGCAATTACATGTAAACCTCTGCAAATAGCTGTGGATGCTGTCTGGCTCCCAGTGCTTAAAATGGGCTTCCCTTCTGCACCCATTCACATGGATCCCTGCTGAGTCTCCTGAGGGTAATCACAAGTGGCCCCATGCCCTAGTGTGAATGAGTCCTAATAATAATGATGATTAAAAGAAATGTTTGGGAATGTAGAAAAAACAATCCTACATAATTACCTAGGTGGATGCTGCATCAGTCTGATGCTGCATCTGTCCCTCACCGCCTCTAAGACTGAGAACTGAGCAGATAAAGACCACTGATAGATCAGTTCTCGATCTTCAGTGAGCAGAGAGTGTGACTGTCAGTCACCGGCTCTCTGCTCTGCCCCTCCAGCACTCACTGGAGTGCTGAGCTGTGGAGGTGACGGGAGTGGCAGGCTCAGGCTCCCAACGTCTATTTGATAGGCAAAGCCAAATGCTGTTTCAGGTATCTGGGTAGAACCGGACTTTAAAGTCCAGATCTCTCCATAGCCTGGACAGGCTCAGTGACATTATCCGAGTCACAAGAGTGTAGAACGAAATGCACTCCTGTAATCTACAGGAGGAGAAGTAGTAAAAAACCTTTGGCCCTACTTCTTTAATAAGAGTTAGTCAACCCCAGGGGCGGACTGACAACTCATGGGGCCCCCGGGCAATAGGGGATCATGAGGCCCCTGTGTCCTTGCCCAAACTCAAAAAAGCCTATGAAAAAGGTACCAGAGGCATCTCATGGGGCCCCCTACTGACCTCGGGCAGTGCCCGAGTTTCCAAATGGTCAGTCCGCCCCTGGTCAACCCCAAAACTGACATTTGCTTTTTGTTTTGTGGCAGATGGAGAGTAAAGAGCATCCAACATTTTTTTTTTATATTATCAGGATTGGTGAGATCTCTCCACTCATGATAATACTTTTCATCAAATATACAATACATCATTTACATAGCACCAACATATTATGCAGCAATTTAGATTAAGTAAGAATGAAACATATCTGGCTTCCAGATCTTTCAAGCAGAGCCAAAACATGGTATTTGTAGGTATGTTTGTTTGTAAGTTTAATAAAAGATTGGGTTTTTAATCATGTCTTAAATCTAGGGTTGCACCGATACAGTGTTCTTTTATCAGCAAGTACAAGTATTTATTTATTTATTTATCGAGTTTATATAGCGCCAAAGGGTTTGCTCAGCGCTGTACAATAGAGGGGGGGACAATACATGAAACAGAACAGTAACATCAAACAGTACACAAGGGGTAAGAGGGCCCTACTCTTTCGAGCTTACAATCTAGGAGGGAGGGGGTAGAGGCACAGGAGGAAATGGCTGTGGGGGATGGAGTGGTAGGAGGAGGGCAGGGAAGTATTAATATATTCTCTGTCAGGGTCCGGACCTGAACCTGTGACCTCTACAGTGTCTAGTTGTAGCTCTTCTTGTTGTACCACCTGAGATGCTGGACAGATCTCTGTCTGATTTCTTGGCAATCTTACCACGTACCTTGTTTCTGACAAACCTTGAACTCTTTTCTCCTCCCACGAACTTCCTGATATACACCATGTCTCTGCACTGCCTGTTTGCCAGATTATTGTGCTCTTCTCCAGCCAGTATCTTGCTCCTTTCACTCAAGATGCCTTCAGTATCTCCACTACCACCTGTTATCAATCTTCGACTTCTTCTTCAACTACGTTTCTGCTTGATCCCAATCTACAACCACTTGTTATTGACCTTTGATTTGTTTACCGACTACGCTTCTGCTTGATCCCTAACTGCTATAATGGCTACTGGACCCCGGCTTGGTCACCTCCTGGTGAGGCAATCCTGAGGAAAGAAACCCATCTCCACCATCAGGAGCTCTGGTGAACACTGGTTAGTTGTTGGACCACATGCCTCGAGTGAGTCTGCATCATCCACCAGGGTAACCTGGCTCATGTACTTATCCTGCTGGTAGGTGGGAGCCTCTATACTGCTATAGCTACTGGTCTCTGTGCCTGACCCCTAACCGTGGCAAATGCTTACCCCAGCACTAGCAGTTTATGGGATTCAATGCTGCTGGCTCATGCTTTCTGAGTGCCGGTTCCCTGAACTTCTGGGATGAGTTAACAGTGGACAGTGCGGTCTCCAGCCAGTCTGTTATGTTGAATAACGGAGGGGGAGGAGAAGGAAGGAGCAGGGGAGTACAATACCATTCTAGGTCACTGGTTTGTGTGTTTCTATTGATGCACGGTGACTCCATAGGACGCTGCAAGAGAAAGGAGTCACCCTGGAACAGGAAATCTGGGGTAGTGGTCATGGCACCAGCTTAGGTCCCATGCACACTAGGGCTTTGTTGTTTAGCTGCGGGTGGAGGAAACAGGTGACCTGTCCTGGCCTGATGCAAGCAACCTGTCAAACTCTATGAGAGGCTGACAGCTGTGTTTGCAATGACCCCTTAAGCAGTTCTGAGACTAAAACGGCATAAGTGGACTGCCTTTTTACAACGCTGAATTGTCTGACCTTTGCTAAAACCATTTTAAGTGGGTAGATCTGAGTTGAAGCAATGAGCCATGATTTGTTGAAGTGCGGACATGCCTTTAAAGATCATCCACGTGGCTCCAGCTGTACAAAAGTCTGGTTACGTTTCCAGGGAACACAGCAGCCATTCACTTACCTTATCAGCAAAGTGCACAACGATGAAGGAGATATTTGACATCCGTGGTTTCTTAAAGTGCTGGCTACTGCCGTGCCTATCATAGAGTTTCTGGGCCCAGTTCTGGTCCGTTCCCTTGGGGACCTAAACAGAAAAATTTTATTTTTTTTAAATAAACAGTAAAATAAAAAAATAATAAATAAATATAATTATTGAATTCACTATTAGTTTAAAGCATATGCTTTGTTATTTTTTTAAATCAGCACATAGACGGTACGTTCATTAAATGAGAAGTGTCCCTTGGGCTAGTGGTTTAGTTGGAATCCGAAGTTCTCTTCCCACACCCTCCTCCCAATGCGCCCAAAGTGGTAATCTTCTTTGCTGCGAGGGTTAATACAACCTGTCATATGCACTCATCGTGGGTCCCGACTCCTCCATATAAAGAAGCTGTAATATGGCTTCCATGAATGAGAGTGCTCTATGAATGGAGGATGGTTGGTTGGTTGAATGTAAGATAGGAAGGTGGGGGATCAAGGTCAGCTGAATGGTTGAGTCACTGCTGGCAGGGAGAGCAGAGCTGCTTAGTCACATTTGGTAGAGGGACTGGGTAAGTAATGTTACCAAGTCACTGCTATAAGAGGGGAAAACTGGGAGCTGATGATTCAGTGCAAAGAAGAAGGAAAAGCAGAGTGAGCCAAGGTGCTGAGTATCTGCTGGGAGGATAGAGCAGGAGCTGCTGAGCTGCTGTGTCACTGCTGGGAGGGGAGAGCTAAGCTGCTGTGTCACTGCTGGGAAGGGAGAGCTGAGCTGCTGTGTCACTGCTGATAAGGGAGAGCTGAGTTGCTGTGTCACTGCTGGGAGAGGAGAGCTGAGCTGCTGTGTCACTGTTGGGAGGGGAGAGCTGAGCTGCTGTGTCGCTGCTGGGAGGGGAGAGTTGAGCTGCTGTGTCGCTGCTGGGAGGGGAGAGTTGAGCTGCTGTGTCGCTGCTGGGAGGGGAGAGTTGAGCTGCTGTGTCACTGCTGGGAGGGCAGAGCTGAGCTGCTGTGTCACTGCTGGGAGGGCAGAGCTGAGCTGCTGTGTAACTGCTGGGAGGGGAGAGCTGAGCTGCTGTGTCGCTGCTGGGAGGGGAGAGCTGAGCTGCTGTGTCGCTGCTGGGAGGGGAGAGCTGAGCTGCTGTGTCGCTGCTGTGAGGGGAGAGCTGAGCTGCTGTGTCACTGTTGGAAGGGGAGAGCTGAGCTGCTGTGTCACTGCTGGGAGGGGAGAGCTGAGCTGCTGTGTCACTGTTGGAAGGGGAGAGCTGAGCTGCTGTGTCACTGCTGGGAGGGGAGAGCTGAGCTGCTGTGTCACTGTTGGGAGGGGAGAGCTGAGCTGCTGAGAAAGCTGTTAATATTAGAATATCCATATTCTGTCCACAGGTTTACTTTAAAGTGTAAACAAAAAGGAAAAACTTTTTGGATAGAGTGAAGATGGATGAGGGCATCTGTCAGTTTTTATTGCTGTCAGTGCCCCCAATTAGGAAGATTCACCCTCTCTGTTTGTCCTGTTTACCATTATCATCGAAAGTGAAAGTAAAAGAAACCCCACATTTTGGGTTGTCCACAGAAAAGTAATAGAGGGGAAATCTACCAATGAGGACTAGTTCTGATCACCTGGGTGTCCCCAAGGAATTTCCTTAATTTGAAGAGTTTTCCTCACTTCCTGTTTTGGCAACGGGACAGGAAGTGAAGGTAAATCTCCCCAATGGGACACAGATGGCAAAAAATAAACTGACAGGGGTTATAACCCTCCCTTACTCTATCCAAATATTTTTTAAAGTTTTGCCCACTTTAAGGTGGAACTTCAGGCAAATATAAGAGCTCATGCAGACATGTCACAACAAACACAAAGTACACCACACCTTGCATTCCTCATCCAGAAGGTCCAGAATGCCAAGTTTTGCCTCGATCAGGTCAATGCAGGGTTGATTATCATAGAAATCAATCAGAGTCCATGGGATCTGTTCCTTCATGTATTCCTCTTGTTCCAGTTTAAATACATGCTATAAAAAGAACAGGCATCACTTAACAAAATGCCATTTCATTTCACACTGGACATCACCCTTCTAATATTGTAAGGTCTAAATCCACACTTCTGATGGGAATTCATTTTATATTAGAAAAAAATTATTTTTTTTTAGTTTGTACACATTTTAATAACTGAAATTTTAATTGTGCATAGGTGACTTTTTCTAAATCCCAATTCAAGGCAGATAACAAAAAATGATCCCCTGCATTGAGGCTGTGCCCACACTGCAAGGGTAAATTTGTCTAGGGGAGAGGAAAAACAGTTTTACTTACGTGATCCTCCGCTTCCCCAGCAGGTGGCGCTCCCACGAGATCCAGTAGTGGACTGTCCCATGGTGTCCTAATGTCCAGAGCAGGGCTATGGACCATGCTCTGGTCTTCATGAGGTCAGAGACCCTATACCAGTGTAATGTGTGGGTGCAAAAGCTGCAGGGACTGGTCTAGATGTGGGGAGGAGCAGAGGATCGGGTAAGTATATCTCCTTTTACTGTTCCCCTAGACCTAAACAAGCAATAAACCTTTGCAGTGCAGGCACAGCCCCACTGCAAGGAATCATTTTTTAATTGCGTGGAGTTGGGCTTTAAATTTAAAAACTGACACTGCACATCACTTGTCCATTACACTCACTTTGCAAAACATTTGTCTGACAGAATCAGTACAATAAATTAATCCAGGATCTGTTTCTCCTAAGGCAGGCCACAGATTATGCAATTTTCTTCCCTGTGTTGATGGGGGAATCCCTCCTGTGGAGCTATTGTGTTCTCCAGACCGGGGGGGGGTTTGGGGGAGCCCCAACACAATGATTATTCCTAGTGGCTATGGCCATTGGCAATAATCGTATGTAAAATTCCGACATGCCGCTTGTACCAAAGTCATACAACAATCAAATTGATTACAATCAGCCTGCCCATAGATGGTTCGAATCTCAGCCAGTCTCCATTGATCTGGCCAAGATTTGAACCATCTATGACAGTCTAAGCCCTGGTTCACATATATGTGGCCGTGCAGGCCGCGTTTTGCGCGGGCACGAGAGCCCATTCATTTGAATGGACTCCCGTGCCCTGTGACACGCAGAGAAGAAGCCCCTGCACTTCTTCTTAAAACGCAGCCCACGTGGGAACCTCGGATCCCAGTACGGTTGCGTTTTCAAGAGCGAGCAGCGTGCCATTAGAAATAATGGCACCCACCCGCTGGTCCGCATTCCTCTGTGCGGGTGGTGCGGCTGCACGGATTTTCTTGCGTATCCGCAGCGGCACCACCCACACAGATGTGAACCAAGCCTAAAGAAAGACGGATGGGTGTGTCCTTTTTCTTTGCCTTGAACATAAATTAATCCAACCTGCTCTCTAAGCTCTATTTCACAGCAGAGCTGTAAAAAAAGATTGAACAGACAGGTGACAATGTCATGAATTCTGCAACTGCCAAAATATGAAATAGTCACATGCAATATTTCCTGTTTTGCTGATAAAAAAAGGATGTCTGTTAGTATCGAACATGACAAACTCAAGATTAAATATTAATAAATGTACAGCTCAGACTTCTCATTGCTTATGGGTAGTGGCTAAGTGGTTATCACTTCCACCTAGCAGCACTAGGATCGTTGGTTCGAAACCCAACCATGACACCACCTGCCTGGTGTTTGTATGTTCTCCCTGTGCCTGTGTGGGTTTCCTTTGGGTACTCTGGTTTCCTTTCACACTCCAAAGACATGCTGGTAGGTCAAAGTGTTACTAAAAACCCACATCATTAAAATCAGTCTGTATATGCAGTAAAGCATGCTTGTTATACGTAAAAAGGCTGTTTGATCCTGTCTTCTCTAATCCTCCCCTTCTTCTACTGTTCCCAGTCCATCTGCTGACAGTACAGAGCTCTAGGAAGCACTCTGCACATGCTCATTTTGACGTGTATTGTTGGAGGGTTTTTTTTGGGGGAAGGTACATGTGATCAGCAGAGGGCCAATCAGCATTGTCCAGACAGAGGGGGGTCATGCAGTCTCACAGGACAGTCAGAGGAGAGTGAAAACTCCTCCTTCAAGCTTTAACCACTTCAATACCGGGCACTTATACCCTCTTCCTGCCCAGGCCAATTTTCAGCTTTCAGCGCTGTCGCACTTTGAATGACAATTGTGTGGTCATGCAGCACTGTACCCATATGACATTTTTATCAGTTTTTTCACACAAATAATAATGATTTCTTTTGGTGGTATTTAATCACCACTGAGTTTTTTATTTTTGCTAAATAAAACAAAAAACACCTGAAATTTTTGAAAAAAATGCACTTTTCTTTGTTTCTGTTATAAAATTTTGCAAATAAATAACATTTCTTCATACATTTAGGACAAAATGTATGCTGCTACATTTCTTTGGTGAAAATAATAATTATAATTGAATTTGTATTTTTTTTTTCAAATGTTTCTATTATTTTTTATTACATTTTTTCTTTTTTTTTTTAACTATTTTATTTTTCAGCACACTGTGACCAAAGCAATACAATGTTACCATAGTAACATTAAACTGGGCAAGTGAACAGGATTTTTTTTTTTTGATTAACACATTATGATTGGTAATACTAATGTATTTAATTGATATTTGCAATCATTGTTACTGAATGAAATTGATTCATTCAGTGTTTTGTTGTGATTAGCTGTGATTGGGCAAAGCTGATCCCATCATACAGATGGGCTGTGATTGGCCCTGTCTGTATCATGTGACTGCCTTGTCCAATCACAGCTAACAACATAACTGTATACAGTGGATGGCATGACAGGAAGCCATCCATTGTATACAATTGACCTGTGATCTGATGTGATTGGTCACAGCGGTCACATGACACTGGGAACGAGCTATTGTAGTGATATGTCATCGGCTGTGCCCCGTGAACACAGCCGGTGACAGATCGCACTGCTGCGCGGATCGTTTTGACAGGACATAATATGACGCCCAGTCACAACGGCGAGTGTCCCGCCCGGCCTATAGCAGACTGACGACCGGGTGGGACATTCGCCGTTGTGACTGGGCGTCATATGATAAGGTGTTAACCAGTGCTCAGCCAGACACTGATAGAAGTCAGAAGACTGCTATATACTGCTGATGAGAAAATGAATTTAGCAGTTTATATTTACTAAAAAAATTACATTTCCATGTTGTGTGTGCTGTGGGAGCCTGGATATAATGAATGCAGGGTCCTGAGAGAGAGCGGATATAGTGAATGCAGGGTCCTGGGTTTAGTAACACTTTAATTGGCTCCTGTCTAATTTGGCCCTAGTATGTGTATGTATGATTGTATATGTATGAATGTGTATGTATGATTGCGTAGAATGTGTATGTATGATTGTGTATGAATGAATGTGTATGTATGATTGTGTATGAATGAATGTGTATGTATGAATGTGTATGCACGATTGTGTATGTATGAAAGTGTATGTATGAATGTGTATGCTATGATTGTGTATGTATGAATGTGTATGTATGAATGTGTATGTATGAATGTGCATGTATGAATGTGCATGTATGATTGTGTATGTATGAATGTGTATATATGATTATGTGTGTGTATATATGAATGTGTATGTATGAATGTGTATGAATGAATGTGTATGTATGAATGTGTATGTATGAATGTGTATCTATGAATGTGCATGTATGAATGTGCATGTATGATTGTGTATGTATGAATGTGTATGTATGATTATGTAGAATGTGTATATATGATTGTGTGTGAATGAATGTGTATGTTTGAATGTGTATGTATGAATGTGTATGTATGTATGAATGTGTATGTATGATTGTGTATGTATGATAGTGTAGAATGTGTATGTATGATTGTGTATGCATGAATGTGTATGTATGATTGTGTATGTATGAATGTGTATGTATGATTGTGTATGTATGAATGTGTATGTATGAATGTGTATGTATGATTGTGAATGTATGATTGTGTGAATGTGTATGTATGAATGTGTATGTATGAATGTGTATGTATGAATGTGTATGTATGATTGTGTATGTATGAATGTGAATGTATGAATGTGTATGTATGATTGAGAGCTCCTTGAGGGCAGGGGACATATGGGAATGTACAATATATATGTAAAGCGATGCGTAAATTGTCGGCACTATATAAAATGCCTGCAATATACAATAATGGATAAAGACTCTTACTGCTGACTCACCGAGTTAAATTGCTGCTGTAGCTTTTTCATTGGCGTAGTTGATGCAGAATTGTTCAAAGCTGTTTATTTCGAATGTTTCAAACCTGTAAAGAATTGTGAATGATCAGCAGTGAGGAGGACACAGAATTAAATACGAATAACATCCTACAATATACCAGACCATTAACTCCTAAGGTGAAGTGCCAGCAGAAGTGTCTGAAGAGAGTCACAAAAATCTGCTGCACCATACACACTGCTGTCTGAACCTGTGAACTTGACTTACTGCATAGCCGTGGAGGTGTTTTGTAGCATTCAATAGCACATGCACGCTTTACAGTTATTATAATACATGTGCCTTTGCAAATCATCCATGGCACTTCTATAAAAGGATATCTACATCTGCTAGCAGGTGACCACTGTGACCAATCAGAATCACTCTGATCTTTCCCAGAAGTCCCAAGGAAAGACAGGGAAGAAGAGTCAAATCCCCGGATCACTGCACCGGCTGCACAGGCAGTGACAGATAATTACCCACAGAGGTGAGTGCACCGAGGACCGGGAGGTGGGGAGGATGTAGGGTGTTGGTTCATATTTTAATTTTTTCTGAAAAGGTGTACTAACCCTTTAAGCTCCTATTGCCACTTGGGCATTATGGGAACACGTGCCCGTAAAATACACGTTAACGCACAAGGCCACAACACATGGGAACCCACTTACTCTATGTGCAGAGCGATTCATTGTCCATGGCACCCCAACTCATTGCACAGTAGAGCACAGCGCACCACAAAACATATACCATTGCTG